GTTTTCTTCTATTTTCTTTCTAATTCTTGTTCTTGTTTATTTCCTCTTATCTCCATGGGGAAGTGGAACAGAATTCTTCCTCTGTAAGCCATGCGTGTCGTAAGAGGCGACTAAAATGCCGGGAGCAAGGGGCTAGTAACCCCTTCTCCTGTATATATTACTAAATTTAAAAGGAGAAACTTCAGTTTTTTCTTTTGGGCCACCCCACCTCAGTGGGATACGGCTGGTACGTTGAAAGAAAGAATAAATAAATAAATAAATAAATAAATAAATAAATAAATAAATAAATAAATAAATATATATATATATATATATATATATATATATATATATGTCGTGCCGAATATGTAAAACTGGTCATTAAGCAAGAACTCATTTAAAATTAAGTTCTTTCTGAAATTTTCTTTTATACGTTTAAAGATATATTTTTTTCATAAATGTTAATGTAAAAATTTTTAATTTTGCACCAAAAGAATCTTAGAAAACTTACCTAACCTTATTATAACAACAACTTATTTTACCCTAACCCAACTAAATATATTTTAGATTTGTTTACAATAATTTAATACTAAACAAACAGTGAAATGTATTTTTTTCGTTAGGTTCAGAATGATTTTGGAGAAATTATTGCATACACAAATTTTCACTTGTCCTATATGGCAAGATGAGCGTTGCTATTTAAGCCAAGATCACAAGTTCTGCCTATTCGGCACGACATATATATAAACACATCGACCAATTCCCACCAAAGGAGGGTGGCCTGAAAAAGAAAAACTTTCACCATCATTCACTCCATCACTGTCTTGCCAGAAGGGTGCTTTACACTACAGTTATAAAAGTGCAACAGTAACACCCCTTCTTCAGAGTGCAGACACTGTACTTCCCATCTCCAGGACTCAAGTCTGCCCTGCTGGTTTCCCTGAATCCCTTCATAAATGTTACTTTGCTCACACTCCAACAGCACGTCAAATATTAAAAACCATTTATCTCCATTCACTCCTATCAAATACACTCACGCATGCTTGCTGGAAGTCCAAGCCCCTCACACACAAAACCTCCCTTACCCCTTCCCTCCAACCTTTCCTCAGCTGACCCCTACCCCGCCTTCCCTCCACTACAGATTTATACACTCTCGAAGTCATTCTGTTTCGTTCCATTCTCTCTACATGTCCGAACCACTTCAGCAACCCCTCTGGATAATTATTGGTATTATTATAAGGAAGTGATAAACCTCTAGGGGTTACACACATCAATGGAAATGGGATGCAATCAGGTTCATTCCAAAGGAGAAGAGGTCAGATCCAAGAGCCCTTCAAATGCTATATGACCATCTGATTAAAGGATGAGGATCATAAGACACCTGGAAAATGGGAAGGGTGGAGTTAATCATGTATAACTTGAGGAAAAAAAAAAAGTTTCAATTTCTTGGATCAAGCTTTAACTAAATTCCTCATCCCAAACTAATAAGCACACTTGAATCCTTTCTAGCTATTACATTATAATTATAATCGAAGTGCTAAATCCCCTAGCTATTACAAAACACTGTACTAATGCTGAGCTTCCAATAATTTATGCATTCTTACCCTTCTTTTAAATATTCTTTGGAACTGTCTGAATTCTTCTTTTCTCCTTCTAACACACTTCCTACAGCAGTTAGCAGTAGTTCAGGAATATCTTTGCCCTCCTGTAATTTAAACAGGAGCAGCTAAACCCATGGGGGTCATGTAACACCTTTGGAATGGGAAGAAATGAGATTCAATCCAAGTAAGGGGAGGATAGGAAGGTTCCTTTGATCAAGAATTTGTCACCAGCATCAAAGCATCTCTAGATTATTGCATTTATAAGGTAACAACCCATAGGGGTCATATAACACCTGGGAGAAATGGAAAGCATTCAGGTTAGATCCACAAGAAGTACAGGTTCAATTCCTTTAACCCCTTCAGGGTCCAAGGCCCAAATCTGAAGTGGTGCCCCAGTGTCCAAGAATTTTCAAAAAAAAAATGTTATTTTTTCTTATGAAATGGTAGAGAATCTTTTTGTGAAGGTAATAAAACAAAAAGTACGAAATTTGATGGAAAACTGACGAAATTACGCTCTCGCGTATTTTGATGTGTCAGCGATATTTATGAATCGGCGATTTTGCCGACTTTGACTACCATTTTAGGCCAATTACATTATTCCAGTCAACCAAATTCTTAGCTATTTCACTAGTATTACTTCTATTCTATCGATTGAGCACAAGAAATCGCCAAGTCAACTGTTTCAACTACAAATTAAAGTGATCGGAAATTGTTAATTTGGCCAATTTAACACAAAGTTCAAAATATTCCAATTTCAAAATAGGGTCCAGAATAAACAATGTAGGTATTCCTGGAACTAAACTAACATTTCCTCTGTTCATTAGTTATGTTTTGAGGCTTTAGAAATTCTATTTTGATTTTTTATTCACATAATGAATTTTTATTCACACCAAAAAATAGATTTACTGTTATGCAATACTGTAATAATTGTATAAATATCATCACCATATTTGTGAATGCATATTAGACCCACCAGCTGGTGTGTAAGGTCGTTTGTTTACTCTTGAATATCGTCAAAAATTTAACATTTCTGCTACTTTGAGCTCAGTTTCAAGCCATTTCCAGTGCTAAAACCAATCAAAATCATCTCTATTTCTGTAATATGTCTTCCATTCTATCAAATGAGACCAAGAAATCGCAAATACAACTATAAAAAACATACGAAAAAACACTGCAAAGTTGCCGTTTTAATCGAAAAATCATGATTTCAGTTTTTTTTCTCTCATTATACACAGTGTGCTGCAGGATCTGTTTTATGTGGTGCACACATACCACATAGATGTATTCTCTCATATCTAGGCCCAAATGTACCACTCACAGTTTATCAGAGTGAGCTGAGCTCATGACGTAGATCTACAGTTTGGACCCTGAACATAAAGCCATAGATCTACGGGACGGACCCTGAAAGGGTTAATCAAAGACCCTTCACCGGCATCAAAGAATCTCCCTCGCAGGTTTGCCCTCTTCAGCCATCTCTTATCAATCTAAGTTTTTTAGTCTCCTACCCAAGAAAACTCAAGATGCTATCTACCTGTGTCCTTTGTTCAGCAGTTTTTAAGTTCTACTAATTTGGTCATGGTCTTAACTCTTACCAAAATATTTGATGACAATGACTGAGGCTTGTATTATTTATTATAATTCATGTAAAACTAAAACACCTGTGGGTCAATCAGCAAAAGTTGTGAATTATTACACATACGAGGTAATGCTAAACCAATGGGGTTGAATGATACAGTGCCTGGGGAAATGGAAGGCATTTAGGTTCAGTCCAAGGAGGGTAAACACAGGTCCAGTTCCTTAGATCAAGAGCCCCTCGATATAAAGAACTTCCATTGAGGGGGAGGAGTTGTGAAAGCTCAATCTTGTCTAGTAAACATGGCCCAGTCTCAGAACAGGCAGGTTGTTGGGGATTGCCTGTTGATGTTCTGTCACATGCTAATACAGTGGACCCCCGCTTAACGATCACCTCCCAATGCGACCAATTATGTAAGTGTATTTATGTAAATGCGTTTGTACGTGTATGTTTGGGGGTCTAAAATGGACTAATCTACTTCACAATATTCCTTATGGGAACAAATTCGGTCAGTACTGAGCACCTGAACATACTTTTGAATGAAAAAATATTGTCAACCGGAGGTCCACTGTATTTCAAAAAGGATGAATGGTTTTTTTTTTTCAACAAACCTGCCATATCCCACCAAGGTAGAGTGACCTAAAAAGAAAAAGAAAAGTTTTTTAAATTTAGTAATGCATACAGAATGGGGTCACTAGCCCCTTTCTTCTGGCATTTAGTCACCTTCTACGACACACACGTACTATATATTCATCCACTTCCCCGTGGATGAATATATAGTACACATTTCATAACAGCTATATACATTAACACAGATGAGCACTGTAGCAAGCCTAAAAGTTCATTACTTCAGATACAAAGTTTCAGATTTAATTTAGTTTAAAAGAAATTTTTCTTAATGCATGAAACAAGAATTACAGGACATGAAAAATTTTCTAGGTAGTAGGTTGGTAGACAGCAACCGCCCAGGGAGGTACTACTGTCCTGCCAAGCGAGTGTAAAACCAAAGCCTGTAATTGTTCTACATGATGGTAGGATTACTGGTGTCCTTTTTTCTCTCATAAACATGCACGATTTCGGGTACGTCTTTCTACTTCTACTTGCACTTAGGTCACACTACACATACATGTACAAGCATATATATACACACCCCTTTGGGTTTTCTTCTATTTTGTTTCTAGTTCTTGTTGTTTATTTCCTCTCATCTCCATGGGGAAGGGGAACAGAATGTAAGAGGTGACTAAAATGCCGGGAGTGCCAGTAACCCCTTCTCCTGTATAAATTACTAAATTTAAAAAGAAAAACTTTCGCTTTTCTTTTCGGGGCACCCTGCCTTGGTGGGATACAGCCGGTTTGTTGAAAGAAAAAGAAAAATATACTTTGGAATTTCAATTTATTTATTGATGTTCAGCTTAAATCTATTATTATATATTTACATGAAATACCTGTATAACAAGTAATGTTTATGACCTTTTAAGAATGTGATGCAGGAATGAAAGAAACATAGCATTATTATAAACTAAATTTGTTCGGAATGCAAAAAAAAGGAAAATACTAAGGTACATTTTTGGCTGTTTTTTGGAGGTGACGTATGACAATTAACTTAACAATGAGAACAAATATGAGGAAACAGAGGGAATATGTAAATGAGCCTCAACAGTAGAACCTGGAAAACAAGATTGTTTTTACATTCCTGTAACCTAAAAAAATTTTTGTCATTCAAAATATGTCAATGTTGATGCTAAATTACTTCAGTCTATAAACTGTACATAAAGAATGTTAACACAAATGAAACCATATAATATGCACAAGATGCAGGTTCTTAGCATATAACTAGAATCAGCATACTAGTGTCCAAAGAGATTTTATCTTCAATGCAATTATCTTTTTTCCAACTAAATAAGTGCACTAATTAAAATGACCACAAATTGTGGCTTAAAAGTGCATGGATGAAAATGTAAAATTCTGTCAACTGCTAACATACGTAAGTTATATACTTAGGTCTCATATATTCAACTTGTTTTATCTACCTATCAATCATAATCCACTAGTAGTCAGCTAGGGTTATATAGATTTGAGAAATGAAGTATACTTGTGTTAAACAACCAGAACCAGGATTATGTGAAAGTAATTTAAAATTTCAGTCAACATTTACAGAACAATGTAATGTTTACAATATGATAAGCAAATGGGAAGGTTTCAAATGGTACTAGAATACAAAGTGAATACTAGAAACTCAATAAATATATCAAAAAAGAAAAAAAACATCCCCATAAGTAAAAAAAACTTGGTAATTTTTTATAAAAGTTTCATACATGTTCATTTGGCAAGAGTCTGTATAAATATGACTGAAATTAAAATGTTCTAAAGAAGCATATTACCGTGTAGCAATAAGTTATTTAAAAGCCAAATTAAGAGGTTTATTTTTTTCTTCCACCTCCCATAGCAAGAATCTGTGCAATGCGGATGAAAATGTTGAGGGCATCCATGACAATGTGGTGAGACATGTTGATGGGGTCATAGGGCACAACACCCCACATATCTGGGTGACTTTCAGCCTTGCGCACAACCTAAATAGAAGAATTTATCAATGATTAAAAACTTAAACCGTATGTAATAAGTGACACTTTAAAAATGATCATTGAGGAAGATCTACCTTAATACTCTGATACATACAACAACTCACACTAATGGACACGCTTCACAAGTTTTCATTTTCTCAACCATTACAACTTTACAAGGGTGTGACATTAGTTATACTGAGAGCTGCCACGAATATCTTCAAAGAAAAGCATATGTTAACTGTGAACTTACCTTCTGTGTATCGTAAAGCAGAAATGCCGAGAAGAGTAGCAGACCACCATACAGGGAAATGGAATAGAGAGAGAGGCCCAGGGCAGACGTTGGAGGGAGGAAGGCCGAGCCAAGTGATGCAACAAAAACGCCCCCAAGACCAATGCCAAGAGGCCCAGCCCAGTTTAAGAACTTGTCACTAGGAGCACACACAGCCACAGTGCTCAGACCCGCAATGATACCTGAAACAGTATATCAAAGCTTGCTCTGAAAACAGATTCACTCAAGTTTAATTAGTCGACCATAGTCAATGTCATACTAGTTAGGATAATATGTAGTGAGCATAAAAAAATATACAAAGTTAAATTAACTTAAAGCAAAAGAATATTAAGGAGAAGAAACTTGACAAACCGAATTGAAATAGAAAATTTAAATTAGGTAAAAGTCTAGATACAGTAGGAAAGAAAAAGTAGATTTAACATACTGGCATTAAATGCACTACATGCCACAACACATCATGTCAAAAATTTTAGTAGTAAATAAAATAAAAAAAGGACTTACAAAACATGAAAAACTCAATGGTATATGCATATACAATAGCAATTCTCAACAATCAAATGCAAATGCATTTAAACATAATACCCAAAACGATCTATAGGGTGACCAAAACTAGAGGATAATCCCCAGAACCATCTACGAGTAACCAACAGGTTTAAAAAGAGGAGCTTATAAAAACTTTTTTTATGTTATATATACTTTCTTATGTTGTTCAGAAAGACGAAAGTTTATATACGATATGATAATGCCACAAGGCAAAGAAGCATTGCCTTTTGAAAGGTTTTGGAAGATTAAATTAGGATAATATATTAACACTGAATTATAATGCACAATTATATATAAAAAAAAAAGTTTTAAGATATGCAAGTGAAAAATTTCAAATAGATACATAAAGGCATTAAAAATTATCCATAAATGATACCACAAAATAAAAAAAAAAGGCACTACTATTAAAACTTTCAATAAAGTGCTAAACTACACAAGTCTCATTACATAGATGTCTGACTAACATAATTTTGCTAGTAAAAATCTAACTGCTTCACTTTGTTTCATAACCCAAAAACAACAAGGCTATATGGAGAAATGAGTAACCTAAAATAAATTTATCATATGAAGCTATTATTTCTTATTGCAATTAAAATAAGTAACACATTCACTAAGAAGCATTAATCCTTTTAAATAATACAAGTGAAGTATATACCTGCTGTGTACCATCCTGCCCTGATGGCAATAGCACCCCCCAGGGCACCAATGGGGGCCACAGCCAAGCCCAGCATGCCACAGTTGATAAGCCACATTATCTGTTTGGCTCCCAGCCCAGGAGTGTATGGAATAGCCATCATTGCTTGTCCTGTTCCCACAATTCCTACAAGGAGTCCAACAGTAGACTGAAAAAAAAAAAATTCTCGAAAAACATTTTGCTCATATAAGGCTTCATTTTTTTTTTCAACAAACTGGCCAAATCCCACCAAGGCAGGGTGACCTAAAAAGAAAAATGAGTTTTTCATTTTAAATTTATACATTTATATAGGACAAGGGGTTACTAGCCCCCTTTCTCCCATTTTCATTTATTACCTACAACTGTGATGAATGGTTTGAAAAACCGACAAGTTGAAGATTGAGACACTTATGCAGCATATGGAAATCTTTATTCAGGAAACGTTTCGCCACACAGTGGCTTCATCAGTCCAATACAAAGAGGAAGGCGTAAGGAGAGGAGGAGAATGAGGTAATCAGTCCCTCAACCTGGAGTCGATGTGTTCAGTCCATCAATCTTGTAGAATGTACAGCATAGGGCCGTAGACGTGGCTTATATACTGTAGTGAGGTGACGTGAAGCAGATGGAGGCGGGGTCATAGTGGTACCATCCACTAGTCGAAGTAGGTCTTCGTCCAAAGGTTGAACAAGTGTTGAAGAATTCTTTGTAACAAGATCCCATGATGCTGCAGTGTCCGACAGTTGTGATGAATGGTTTGAAAAACCGACAAGTTGAAGATTGAGACACTTATGCAGCATATGGAAATCTTTATTCAGGAAACGTTTCGCCACACAGTGGCTTCATCAGTCCAATACAAAGAGGAAGGCGTAAGGAGAGGAGGAGAATGAGGTAATCAGTCCCTCAACCTGGAGTCGATGTGTTCAGTCCATCAATCTTGTAGAATGTACAGCATAGGGCCGTAGACGTGGCTTATATACTGTAGTGAGGTGACGTGAAGCAGATGGAGGCGGGGTCATAGTGGTACCATCCACTAGTCGAAGTAGGTCTTCGTCCAAAGGTTGAACAAGTGTTGAAGAATTCTTTGTAACAAGATCCCATGATGAAGCCACTGTGTGGCGAAACGTTTCCTGAATAAAGATTTCCATATGCTGCATAAGTGTCTCAATCTTCAACTTGTCGGTTTTTCAAACCATTCATCACAACTGTCGGACACTGCAGCATCATGGGATCTTGTTACAAAGAATTCTTCAACACTTGTTCAACCTTTGGACGAAGACCTACTTCGACTAGTGGATGGTACCACTATGACCCCGCCTCCATCTGCTTCACGTCACCTCACTACAGTATATAAGCCACGTCTACGGCCCTATGCTGTACATTCTACAAGATTGATGGACTGAACACATCGACTCCAGGTTGAGGGACTGATTACCTCATTCTCCTCCTCTCCTTACGCCTTCCTCTTTGTATTGGACTGATGAAGCCACTGTGTGGCGAAACGTTTCCTGAATAAAGATTTCCATATGCTGCATAAGTGTCTCAATCTTCAACTTGTCGTTTTCAAACCATTCGTCACAACTGTCGGGACACTGCAGCATCATGGGATCTTGTTACAAAGAATTCTTCAACACTTGTTCAAACCTTTGGACGAAGACCTACTTCGACTAGTGGATGGTACCACTATGACCCCGCCTCCATCTGCTTCACGTCACCTCACTACAGTATATAAGCCACGTCTACGGCCCTATGCTGTACATTCTACAAGATTGATGGACTGAACACATCGACTCCAGGTTGAGGGACTGATTACCTCATTCTCCTCCTCCCCTTACGCCTTCCTCTTTGTATTGGACTGATGAAGCCACTGTGTGGCGAAACGTTTCCTGAATAAAGATTTCCATATGCTGCATAAGTGTCTCAATCATTACCTACAACAAATTTAAATAACAAAATAAGAACAGTATAAGAACAATTAGCAATTAATAAACTATTATATTTTGTAGATAGTAGGTTGGTAGACAGCAACCACCCAGGAAAGTATTACTGTCCTACCAAATAAGTGTGAGACAGAAACCTGTATTTGTTTTACATGATGGTAGAAGGGATGGTGTCTTTTTTTTTTTTTGTCTCAAACACAGGATAACAGGTATATCTTGCTATTTCTACTTACACTTAGGTCACATTACACATGCATGTACGCATTTATGTATACACACTCATTGAGTTTTCTTTGATTTTGTCTTAAAAGTTCTTGTTCTTATTACTTTTCCTCTCACATGCATGGGGAAGTGGAATAAGAATCTTTCCTCCATAATCCATGCGTGTCATAAAAGTCAACTAAAATGCCCGGACCAATGGGCTAGTAACCCCTTTTCATGTACAACTTGCTAAAAATAAGAAGAAAACTGTCAAAGTGAGATGTCTGAATGTTCGTGGATACAGTGCAAATGATAAAGAGATGATTGTGGATGTTATGAATGAGAAGCTGGATGTCCTGGCTCTAAGTGAAACAAAGCTGAAGCAGGCAGGAGAACTTCAGTAGGGAGAAATAAATGGGATTAGGTCAGGGGTTTCTAATAGAGTTAGAGCTAAGGAAGGAGTAGTAATAATGTTGAAGGATAAGCTATTGCAAGAAAACAGGGAATATATATTTATAAATTTAAGGATTATGTGGAGTAAAATAAGGGATGGATGTAAAAAGTGAGTTATAGTGTGTTTATGCACCTGAAGAATAGAGAAGTGTAAAGGAGAGAGAGATTTTGGGAAATATTGAGCGAGTGTGTGGGGAGTTTTGAACCAAGCGAGAGAGTACTAGTGGTTGGGGACCTAAATACTGAAGTGGGTAAAAATGTTGTGGAGGGAGTAGTGGGTAAATCTGGGGTGCCAGGGGTAAATGAAAACAGGGAGACTAATTGAAATATATGTGGAAAGAGGTTTGGTAATAAGTAATACATATTTTATGAAAAAGAGGATAAGTATACAAGATATGATATAGCACGTAACGAAAGTAGTTTGTTAGATTGTGTATTGGTGGATAAAAGGTTGATGGGTAGGCTTCAGGATGTGTATGTTTATAGAGGGGCAAGAGATATATCAGATCATTATTTAGTTGCAGCTACAGCTACAATAAGAGGTAGATAGGGGAAACTGAAAATGACAACAGCAAGTAAAATAGAGGTGAAAGTATATAAACCAAGGGATGAGGAAGTTAAGGTGAGATGTAAGTAACTATTACCAGAAATGTGGGCTAGTGTGAGTATGGGTAGTGGGGAGGGTTGAAGAGGAGTGGGATAGTTTTAAAAATGCAGGGTTAGAAGGCGGGGCAGAAGTTTGTGGCTATAGGAGGGTGGTTGCACGAGGAAAGTGTGATTGGTGGAGGTAAAGGGTCCAATAAAAGAGAAAAAGGTCACTTATGAGAGGTTTTTACAAAGCAGATGTGATGTAAGAAGGATGAGTATATGAGTATATGGAGAATAAAAGAAAGGTGAAGAGTGGTGAGAGAGTGCAAAGGAGAGCAAATGATAGAGTGGGTGAGGCACTGTCAACAAATTTTGCCGAGAATAAGAAACAGGTTAAGAAAGCCTAGGGAATGAATGGATTTGTCAGTTAACCCTTTGACTGTCGCAACCCCCAATCCTGAGGTGTCTCCTGGTGTCGCAAAATTTAAAAAAAAAAAAAAAAAAAAAAAAAAAAAATCTTATGAAATGATAGAGAATCTTTTCCCGATTGTAAGACACCAAAAAAACGAAATTTGATGGAAAACTGACGGAATTACGCTCTCGCGAAGTTAGCGACCTCGGCGATATTTACAAATCGGCGATTTCGCCCACTTTGAGCCCTATTTTCGGCTAATTCCATTATTCCAGTCAACCAAACTCATAGCTATTTCTTCAGAACTCCATTTTTTCCATCAATTGAGTACAAGAAACTGCCCATTTACCGATTTCAACTACCCAATAACATGGTCAGAAATTTGCAATTTGGCCAATTTCATGAAAATTAAAAAATTTCAAAATAAGGACCAGAATGAACAATGCAGACATTCCTGGCTCTAAAATAACATTTTCTTTGTTCATCAGTCATGTCTCCAGGCCCCTGTGATATTACTCTTGCTTTTTATTTTGAAATTTTATTCAAACAAAAAATAGAAGATTTACTGTTATGCAGACTACTGCAATACTGTAATAATTGTAAAAATTACATCAACCCATTCATGACTGCATATTATAATGGCTATTTGGACATTTATTGGACAATGACATTGTTTGTTTACTTTTGAACATCGGCAAAAATCAAACATTTCCCGTACTTTGTGCTCCATTTCCAGGTTCTTTTTATAGTAAAATTAATCAAAATCACCTCTATTTCTATAATATAGTTTCCATTCTATCAAATGAGACCAAGAAAACGAGAATACAACCACAAATACTATACGAAAATAGACCACAAAATCGGCATTTCAATTAAAAAAAACCGGTCGAGTTTTTTTTTCTCATTATGCACTGCGTGCTCCAGGATTTTTTTTTTATATGGTGCACACTGACCACACAGACCCATTCTCTCACATGTGGGCCTACCAGCTTTCTCCTGCCTGATTTGAAGCCGCTAGAATTTATGAGTATATATACGTCAAACACGGTACCTCGTAAACGTATATATACGGCCGCGACAGTCAAAGGGTTAAAAACAGAGTAGGGGAGTTAGCAGATATGGAGTTGGAGGTATTGGGAAGATGGCAGGAATATTTTGAGGAACTTAAATGTTGATGAAAAAAGGGAGGCAGTAATTTCAGGCACTGGCCAGGAAGGTATAACATCTTTTAGGAGTGAAGAAGAGGAGGATGCTAGTGTGGGGTAGGTGCGTGGGGCATTACACAGAACAAAAGGGTATAGAGCAGCCGGAATTGAGGGGATCATGAGAGAAATGCTCAAAGCAGGGGGAAGATATAGTGTTCGAATGGGGAAGGTACCTAGGGATTGGCAGAGAGCATGTATAGTTCCTTTATATAAAAGGAAGGGGGACAAAAGAGATTGTAAAAATTATAGGGGAATAAGTTTACAGAGTGGGAGCTAGTAACCCCTTCTCATGTATAAATTACTAAATTTAAAAAGAAACTTTCATTTTTTTTTCTTTTTAGGCTATCCTGCCTTGGTGGGATATGGCCAGTTTGTTGAAAGTGGTAGTAGTAGTTTACCGAGTATACCAGGTAAAATGTATGGCAGGATTATTATCGTAAGAATTAAGAGGCAAGACAGAGAGCAGGAGTAAGTGCTAGAATTTGGGTGTTTAAGGGTAGAAAGTTGAAAGTGAACATAGATAAGAGTAAGGTGATGAGGGTATCAAATGATTTTGATAAAGAAAAATTGGATATCACATTGGAGGGAGGGAGTATGGAAGAAGTGAATGTGTTCAGATATTTGGGAGTTGACTTGTCAGCAGATGAGTTTATGAAGGAGGAGGTTAACCATAGAATTGAGGAAGGAAAAAAGGTGAGTGGTGCTTGGAGGTATCTGTGGAGACAAAAACTTATCCATGGAGGCAGAGAAGGTAAATGCACAAGAGTATGGGTGTGAAGCATGGGTTGTAAATGCTGCGGCAAGGAGGAGGCTGGAGGCAGTGGAGATGTCGTGTCTAAGGGCAATGAGTGGTGTAAATATTATGCAGAGAATTCAGTGTGTTTTCTAATAAAAAAATTCCCCATAGTCATTAAAGAAAACTTTGAACTTGAAGGACCCAAAAACTAACCAAAATGGGATGGCGGGAGCACAAAGCAAAGAAACGATGTCCCAGGGATGAGCGGAAGATAGTCACTGCTGATGCTGCAGTAGCAACACACGATGCCCCAAAATATGCGTACGTATTATGGATGCGATCACGCACATATTGTGGCCACACGCTGAGGAAAAAGGAGAAACCAACATAACTTCACATAATTGTTGTAGAGATAAAAGATGTTGCACTATAATTTATCATTGTGAAATGCATTCTATACAAAAGTATTGTCACAAGTTAGCTTAATCTGAAAAAGCTGGCACACCATTTCCCATCTACTAACTAGTTTTATATGGAATAATCATTAAATGTTAGAATGCAAACAGACATGTATAAAAACACACATAAGGAGTTATAACTAAGTTTAACATAGATGTTATTTAACCCTTTAACCCTTTCAGGGTTTCCAATGTACTAGTACGGCTTACGCACCAGGGTTATTGACGTACCAGAACGCCTAAATTCTAGCGCCTTCAAATCTAGCGAGAGAAAGCTGGTAGGCCTATATATGAAAGAATGGGTCTATGTGGTCAGTGTGTGCAGTATAAAATAAATCCTGCAGCACACAGTACGTAATGAGAAAAAAAACTTTGACCGTGTTTTTGGATTGAAACAGCGACTTTGCACTGTATTTTTGTATGGTATTTATGGTTGTATTTTAGTTTTCCTGGTCTCATTTTATAGAATAGAAGACATATTACAGAAATTGAGATGATTTTGATTGGTTTCACAATGAAAAGTACCTTGAAATTGAGCTCAAATTAGCAGAAATGTTCGATTTTTACCAAAGTTCAAAAGTAAACAAATCATGCCAAGCATCCAATACACGTCAACTGGCGAGTCTAATATTCTTTCACAAGTGCGCTGATATTATTTATACCATTTCTACACTAATGCAGTAGTCTGCATAACAGTAAATCTTTTATTTTTTGTGAAAGCAAAAAAAATGTAAGAGGGGCCTTGGGACGTGACTAACAAACAGAGAACTTGTTACTTTAGTGCCAGGAATGTCTGTCTTGTTTATTCTGGACCCTATTCGGAAATTGGCATCTTCTGAAATTTGTGTGAAACTGGCAAAATTGCCAATTTCTAACCACTTTATTGGATAGTTGAAATTGGTAAATGGGTGATTTCTTGTACTCATTCGATAGAAAAAATGGAGTTCTAGCGAAATAAATGTGATTTTTATCGACTGGTACACAGGAATTGGCCGAAAATAGGGCTCAAAATGGGCGAAATCGCCAATGCATGAACATCGTCAAGACAGCTAACTTCGCGAGAGCATAATTCCATAAGTTTTCCATCAAATTTCGTACTTTTGGTGTCATTATGATCGGGAAACGATTATCATTTCATTAGAAAAAATAATTATTTTTTTCCAAAAAAATTTTCAACCCTGAGAACGAGTTTAAGAGAGGGCCTCTCGACCCTGAAAGGGTTAAGGGTCGAGACCCCTGCTCACTTTCTCCCAGTGTCGAAGAATTTAAAAAAAAATTCTTACGAAATGATGTTTTTTTCAAAGGTAGTGAAACCAAAGCATGAAATTTGATGGAAAACTTATGGACTTATGCTCTCAAGAAGTTGCATAGCATTCTCGGCAATATTTACACATCGGCGACTTCACCCAATTTGAGCCCTATTTTGGGCCAATTACATTGTTCCAGTCGACCAAACTCATAGTTGCTTAGCTAGAACTCCTATCATTCTATTGACTGAGTACATTTACCTATTTCAATGACCCAATAAAGTGATCAGAAATTACTATTTGGCCAATCTCACAAAAAATTCAAGAAAGGACAATTTCAAAATAGGGTCCAGAATAAATAATGTAGACATTCTTTGCACTAAAATAACATTTCCTCTGTTCATTAGTCATGTCTCCAGGCCCCTCTTATGTTATACTTGCTTTTCAGACTGAATTTTTATTCAGACTACTGCATAATGGTAATATCTGTATAAATAATATCAATGCATTCATGAGTGTATATTAGACTGGCCAGTTGACACACATTGGACGTGTGACGTGTTTTGTTTACTCTATCAGCGAAAATCGAACATTTCTGCTACTTTGAGCTCAATTTCAAGCTACTCTTAGTCTGCAAACCATTCAAAATCATCTATTTCTGTAATATATTTTCCATTTTATCAATGAGACCAAGAAACAGAGAATACAACCATAAAAACCATACGAAAATACGCCACAAAGTTGCCGTTTTACACCAAAAACATGGTTGCAGTTTTTTTTTCTCATTATGCAACGTGTGCTGTAGGATTTTTTATACTGCATACACTGACCATGCAGACCCATTATCTCATATGTAGGCCTACCAGCTTTCTCCCACAAGATTGGAAGCTGCTAGAATTTTGGCGTAGTATTAAGGGACCAACCCTGGCTCCAAAGCCATAATATTTCGGGACCAAACCCAAAATGGTTAACAAGCCAGATTGAATAGTAACTTGGTAACCATAGTGACAGCACCAAGTGGATAAGCAAGGCACAACAGCTGGGTAGCTTTAGTACTGAAATGTTTTACCTGCTCTGTAGGCTTCAGATGAATACAGAGGTGACTTAAATATTGGGGACAGCAGAGGTAGACAAAAGAGATACCCAACTGTTGTGTATGTCTTGCTCATCTAAACGCTAAATTATATTTTCGACCTCAACAATACCATATAGTAATAAAGCCTGACATAATACACATTTTGAAATATGAACAGCACACTGCTGTGGTAGTGCCATTTGGCCTACCTGTAACACACCCAACACAGTCACACCCATTACTCGCTTCAAGACATACTCAGGATTATCAGGCACTATTTAACAACTTAATATCTGCCTGCTCACATACTGCACCTACAGGACTATAGCCAATAAACTAGGAAACAATAGCTGGAGGAGGAGGATTTCCAAAGGTCATACAAATTTATTTTTCCCATTTGAAAACCTCCACAGTATTCTGCAATGGGGCCCTTGTTGCCAACCTAAGCTGTCAATTTAGAAAACAAAAAAATTGGGGGCAGGAGCTTAATTTTCCAAGTCATAGAAAAAGAACTCTAATGGGAGAGGCAGTTTGGACTAACCCAAAAATAACCCTTTGGCATCTTGCAGAGTTTTCTCTGGCTAACCATGTGCAAAAGCTAATCCCCCAGGGTGATGGCCCAAAATCAAATTTGTGTTCAGAAAAACAAACTAACCCATTCAAAACATATAAAAATAAAAACTTAATTTGATGCCGCAAGATGCCACTAAAATGCGGGAGAAAAGGGGGTTAGAAATCCTTTCTCTTGTAAAAAAGGCTAGTTTTAAAAAAACTTTTTTTTTTTAAACCCCCCCGGGGGGGGGTTTTTTTAAAAAAAAAAAAAAAACCCCCCCCCCGGGGGGGGGGGGGGAAAAAACCCCCGGGGGGGGGGGGGCCCTTTTTTTTTTTTTAAAAAAAAAAAACAAAAAAATTAAAAAAAAAAAAAAAAGGTTTAAAAAAAAAAAAAAAAAAAAAAAATTTTTTTTTTAAAATAATTTTTTTAAACTTTAAAGTAGGGGGGGGAAAAATTTTTTGGAAAAAGGGGGGGGGGGCCCCCCCCCCCCCAAAAAATATGATTTTTAAAAACCCCAAAAGTTTAAAAAAAAAAAACCCCCAAAAAATTTTTAAAAAAGGGAAAAAAAAAAAAAAGGGGGAAAAAAATTTAAAAAAAAAATAAAAGGAAAAAAAAACCCCCCCCCCCAAAAAAAAAAAAACCCCCCCCCAAAAAAACCCCCAAAAAACCCCGACAACCCGGGAAAAAAAAAAAAAAAACAAAAAAAAAAAAAAAAAAAAAAAAAAAAATTAAAACCAAAAAATTTTAAAAAAAAAAAAAAAAAACCCCCCCAAAAAACCCCAAAAAAAAAATTTTTTTTAAAAAAAAAAACCAAAAAACCCCCCAAAACCCCCCCAAAAAAAAAATTAAAAAGGGGAAAAAAAAAAAAAAAAAAAAAAAAAAAAAAATTTTCAAAAAAAATAAAAAACCCCAAAAAAAAAATTTTTAAAAAAAAAAAAAAAAAAAAAAAAAAAAAAAAAAAAAAAAAAAAAAACCCCCCCAAAAAAAAAAAGGGGGGGGGGGGGGGGGAAAAAAAAAAAAAAAAAAAAACCCCTTTTTCCAAAATTTGGTTTTTTTTAAAAAAAAAAAAATTTTAAGGGGGCCGGGAGTAACCTTTAAAAAAAGGGAAAGGGGCCCCCTTTGGGAAAAAATTTTAATTTCCTACCTTTTTTTAAAAAAAATTTTTAAAAAAAAACCCCCCCTTTTTTTTTTAAAAAATTCCTTAAAAAATAAAAAAAGGGAAAAGGGGGGGGGAAAAAAAAAAAAAAACAAAAATTTTTTTGGGGGAAAAAAAAAAAATTTTCTTAATATAGGAAAAAGGCGAGTAATTTTATTTGTAGGAAGTCAGTGTAGGTAGCCGGTAGGTGTAGCCCGCCTGAGCTACACCTACCGGCTACCTACACTGTGGCCCAGGGCCATATTATTAGCATCGACATACCTTGTTCACTGAATTTATTCGTTTCTAACAATGCCTTTAGAATGCCATCATAAACGAAGGAGAAGAAATTTAAAATAATTCAAGCCGAAAATTATAAACAAAAGCGGAGTGTGGGAGTGGCTGGGCCAAACGCAGATTCATACACTTTTTCTTTGGTGGCTGAGCAGAGAAAACGTAATGTTGTCCCTCCGCCCAGCTACCACACAGGTCCACAAGTATTATTATCAGAGCACATATAAAATATGCAATAAATGCCAGACAACAAGTTTACACTAACTTATATTAAGTTAGCAATAGAAATAGGCATTAAAAACACAATAAAAGGTAAGATACACACACTTATTACTCACCTTAAAATATTAATACAATATTAATGTGTGAGAGGTGAGTGGCAGGGTGTTTACTGAATAATATCAGAATGGCACACCATCATCCTCTAACTTGGCACTTAAAGCAAGAGGCTTACGACTCCTTTTTATCACAACTAAGCTTAGACGCCATCGTCAATGAGAGCCAAGTAGTTAACGAATGTAAAAATACAAACTGAACAGGTAGTTGGCGATCACTTGGTCAGGCGAAATAAATGCATATTAATGTGTGCCTACTTTTAGTTC